TTGAAGATCTGGATTTGATGAGGAGGTGGGATGAAAAGGAGGTGTGATGAGGAGAAGGGATGAAGAGGAGGTGTGATGAGGAGGTGGGATGAAGAGGAGGTGGGATGAGGAGGTGGGATGAAGAGGAGGTGTGATGAGCTCTCCTGGGCACTGGATGTGATGAAAGGAGGTGGATGGGGTGGAGGCGGGCCGCAGCATGAACACCTCAAATCATAGCTGACTGCAGGAGAGAGGAGAACCATTTTAAAGTTTCTCTGCAGTACGCTGATTGGCTGCTGGAGATTGTGGTGACATGTGATTGGAGTGCCCACAATGATCTGATTATATGCAGTTGCGGAGTGAATGAATGTAAACCCAGTCTTCCTGGAAGAACTTAAGCTGAGCTTCTTTTAGATGAGACTTTAATTGTGATTTGGAACCGTCATACAGCTGGCTAACCCTAACGATAACCCTATTTAAAAAAGTGAAATTTATAATATTTGTTTCCTTTTTTGTCATATATCAATTTATTTGTTTACATAATTGTGTCAAGTGCTGTTTTAATTGCTGTGAGATGTAGCTAATTCCTTCTAAATGTCAGATGCAGCTTCAGGTTTTTTCTGCCCAAGTTCAAACTGAGTGGAACATCAGAGCGCAGAGGAGTTCAATTTGGCGTGTTCGTTGTAAATAGCCTTCGGCCCCGCAGCAGAGTTCACATCCCAAACTGGTCTCAGCCAGACTGGTTGACACAGAACTGCCCTTCCTCGCTCTACCGGGGATTTCAGAACTGTTTACGTGGAAAGTTCATGACCCTGCACATCAACCAGTCTCGGTTTGTGATGCAACACACAGGAAATGAGAGTTAATGTATTTCCTCATGAGATTAGATTGTTTTGGATACTTTGTTTTGGTGAAATCTTTGCTTTCTCTAGGTCTAAATAAGGTGTCATCAGAGCAAAACCACAGACCTCTGAACGGAGTGGCTTCTATCTTCAGGAATCAAAAGATGTGATGTGATGCAGTGGTGAAAGTAACTAAGTGCATTTACTTAAGTACTGTATCATTTTGAGAGACTTGTACCTAAATATAATCAACCCTTAAATAAGATGGGCCGAGTATCTTTACTTTTGGTACTCAGAGGTGGAAGAAGTACTCAGATCTTGTACTTGAGTAAAAGTAGAAGTACCAGAGTGTAGGAATACTCTGTTACAAGTAAACGTCCTGCATTCAAAATGTTACTCAAGTAAAAATAGAAAAGTATTATCATCAAAATATAGTTAAAGGTAGGGTAGGTAAGTTTGAGAAACCAGCTCGAGTGCGCTAGAATTTGAAAATACACAACCGGAGAAAATCTGCCACTTCCTTATAGAGCCCCTCCTCCAACACACACGAACGCGCACATGACCAATGAGGGCACGAGATAAGTTTGTGCACAGATGGAAGGCTGACAGGCAGGTAGGCCATCCAGTTATTTTAGCCGGGCCGGCTAAAATGATTGGTCGTACTTTTTACAGTACTACGGCTTCCACAGATGACATTTCTTTATGGATTTTTTGTCAAAGCACTTAAGATATTCATTGCTATCGGGATGTTAAGAGCATTCCATGGAATATAACAAAAAGTGTATCTCGAGCCGGTTTCTCAAACTTACCTACCCTACCTTTAAAGTATAGCAAAAGTAAAAGTAGTCTGATTTGTCCATTTCAGAATAATATATATGATATGTTTTATAATGATTGATCATTAAAGTGTTCTCAAAGCTGGTAAAGGTGCAGCTAGTTTGAATGACTTTGTATACTGCAGGGTAGCTTGTGAATTTACTCCAGGTGGAACTAAAGTCTGATTTAACACTTGATTATATTTCACATCATTATTCAAATCTGTAAAGTAACTAAAGGTATTCAATACATGTAGTGGAGTCAAAGTACACGATTTACCTCTGAATTGTAGTGGAGTAAAAGTACAACGTAGCATAAAATGTAGTATCTCAAAGTTATACTAAGTTACAGTACTTGACTAAATTAGTTACTTCTCACCTCTGTTGGTAATTTAATTTAATTTTGATGCCAATACTTATATACTTTTTAAGTAACATTTGTATTGAAGTACTTTCACTTATAACAGAGTATTCCTGCTCTCTGGTACTTTAGTACAAGATGTGAGTATTTTCCACCTCTGGTAGGATGTCATTGAAAAGGCTCAACAAGAGCGAGCTTCCTCTGAAGAGGAGGCAGAAGAAGACATTGGCAGGTGGGGACTGACATTGCTAGTTCTCCCCAGCCAGTTTGTAAAACATTTACCCTTGTGCTTATCTGACAAGGCAATATCATCCATGTTCTTCCAGTGTCAGCCAACATCCCTCCAGCTGACAGGCTGCGTGGGGCACAGCGCTCCCACTCTTCATGAATATTACATTGGCTCTGTTTGCCGCACATGGCCACCAATAAGCTTTACAAAACAGCTATCAATAATCAGATCACAACCTACACTGAACAAAGTGAAACTTTAATTCAATGTATTATGTCAACAGATTTCACATCACTGTATTATGTTAGTTGAACGCAATGATACAAATAATAACAAAACATTAGGTTCAACTTAATATTATTGCTTTCAACTAACCTAATACAGTTATGTGACATGTTGAAATAATTAATTTAATTTAATTCATCATTTCAGTTTTCAGTGAATGATTTCTTGCATTCTACTCTTTTGTCTTAATTCCAACAGGCACTTGTGAAGCAGTCTTTTCACTTCTCCCCCCCCCTTCTGTAGACTCCCTGCACATCAGGCTTTTTAGCATGACTAATCTCTGCTTCATGTATGTGGATAAGGAGGCCATGGGAAGCAGTGTGTGGGGGGGGGGGGGGGCTAGAAGATATCAGGCAGGCATTAAGGGAAAGAAAGGACTTGCTGCCACTTGTCATATTTACACAAAATGTCAGAAGAATGGGCTGGAGAGGGGGGGTTGTATGCTGTGGTGTGTGGTGGAGGAGGAGGAGGAGGAGGAGGAGGAGGAGGAAGGGGAGGAGGGGGGGGGGTGGTGGGGTGGGGGGGTGCCACAGCTGCAGGCCAACAGTTGATCCTGCCCCGGGAAACAGGATCATCCAGGTCAGGGCGGAGAGGGAGGCAAAAGGTTGCGACCCCTGGGGGTTAAGGAACCGACTTCACAAAGAGGTACATCTTCAAACGCAAAGGCCCCACTGGGGGAACCAGGAGAAGGTTAGGAAAATAAACCAACGTGACCCCCCCTCTCAGAGCACCAGCTTCACAAGGTGTTCTTCACTGACTCTGCTCTCATGAAGGAGCAGGAGTGTTACTTCAAGTCAAAGCACAGAAGGACTTTTACTAGTATCTTTATTGGAGGAAACGTATGTTATTTTACAATTTGTATTACTATATTCTGCCTTCAAGGTACTCCAAATCGGGTCATGAGACTCATAAAATGCTAATTTACATTGTGTGTTTGTGTGTGTGAGTGTGTGTTTACATAAGTGAGGTCAAACCATGTGCTCAGAGTTCACTGACTTGTATGAGGTGATTGAACATCTGTCAGCATATTTATCACACCAATCACCATGACAACTAGTGACAAGTGTGAGCTCTGTATGGCCTCCATGTGAATAAACAAAGCACCTAACAAGAAAGTGTCTCATTACCACTCACATGTCTGCACAATAGTAGTTCATGTGTTCCCATGTAGATAAGCCCCTTGATGTCAAAGCAATTAAATTGTTAGTCAGAAATCGAGTTTCTGTAAATAGTTTTTTGGGGCTAATTCTATGAAGTGCCTGTTGTGGGACTGGCCGGTCCTCGGGTGCCTGATGTGCCGCGCTCACTTCCTGTCAGCCTCATGCTGAGGTCAGGAAATCAAAGCGAGCAGCCTCAGACAAACAGCCGATTGTCAAGTCTTACACCTTGACCTCAGTTTAAACTTGTGACTCCCTCCTTTATGTTCGCCGCTGCTTTGGCAATCGGAGGAAATCAAGGGGTTACTGGCGGTTCAGCCTTGATAAGGATCTTGAAACGGAGAAGTTCACGGAGGGGAAAGGTTACTTGGAGTTTAAAGAGAGTGCAGCCAGTCATGGGGAGTATTAAATAAAAGGGAAGTCAGTGCCGAGGAACTGCGCTGCGTTTTTTAAAAGTGCACTGCAGACAAAAAGCCGTCTGTTCCCTCACTGGACTTCATATTCAAACACAGGGCAGGGGAAGTTTAGCCTGAACTCATCTTCACCTTTGGGGAGTCTCACGCTACAGGCTGCCTCGCTCAACTCAAGGAGAAATGGACAACTTTCTACAGAGAAAACAAGAAATAAGGTTTGTGTTTATACCATGGGGTTCTAAATAGAAGATACACTGTTCCACTCTGTAAGGCACATTCTTGGGCATTCAGTGCCCATGTGGTGACCTCTATGAGTCCCCCCCCCCCCTTTCAAGGTCTTTCCTGCCTTTGTTGCACTGTAGTGAACAGCAGCCCTCTCAGAAGCAGTGGTTTTAGGCCAGATGCAGGACATCCTCTCACTCAGACCAGCCTTTGATTATACAAAGTGCAGTTTGGCTTTGATGTCAATTTCAAATATTCTTTACTGAAGGCAAATCAGATATCTACTGTAGATATATGGGGCCAAAATGTCCTTACAAGTGACTTTATAATAGGGTTCCTGAAGCCCTTCTCCACATGACACCAAAAGTCCTTACAGCATGGCTAGACACCTTGAAAGATGATGTCACAATAGAGTTTAATCACTAAACAAGCTTCACATTTCTTACCCTTAGTCGTAATAAGTGACTACTCACAGGAATACAACTAGGCTGCATATGACCCTTTTACAAGAGAATATGAGAAAACACATGTACTGTTTGAGATAATATACACACATGTATTCCCTGAAAGACTATTGCTGTCCCCAGATAACATGTCATAATGTATAATAAACTTGCCCACATCCTCAATTTGTCCGTAGAAAAACACACTTCTAAATGGCAAACTAGAAAAAGAGGAACACGTTGATACTAGGTCATGCATTTTAGTACTTTATTTTTGAGATATCAGTGCAAATGAACACCAAAAATGAAAACATAAAAAAATGAAATAATGTTTCAAGTCTTCACATGAAAAAAATGAAACATCTTTTTTTTATATTCGCTGCTACAAATGTATTTCTCAGATGCACAATGCAGATCTATGATTGTACGTCAATCCCCCGCTATAGCCCCGAGCTCTCTCCCAGAGCTTTGTTAACCAGTAACAGAAAAAGAAAATCACAAAAATATTCAATGCACGTTTATTTTTCACACAATTTAATCATCTTGCTCAACAGTCTGTGGTTATTTAGGGACTGTTCATATTCTAAACGAACCTCTCTGTGATAAAAAAGACCTATTTTAAGACTTGACATTTTCCCCCTTCACCAGTAGGGATACACAGGTAGTTCCCATGCGTCTGCATGCAACAGGCAGCAGTGAGGAGAGTCAGACATTATTACACAACACAGCGCAGGATAGATTATCATAACCACATAGAGACACATGCAAAGAACAAACCAACCAAAAAAGATGGGCATAGCATCCTCTGCCTTTGTATGTACACTTGTACGCATATAATTCATATTTACATATCAGGGCATTAAAAACTAGGGTATTATCTTTTCTTAAACATTACAAAATAGTCATCTTTCATACTGAAAGTACTATTTACACAAATATATTTAACCATTGTGAAAATGTATTGATAATTGAAGAGGCGTACTTCATAGGTATATGTAATAAAAGGATCACAAGACTAAATGAATCAAGCCGTGTCTGACGTTAACTGAAAAGAATACAGTACAAGATACCAGATATCCCTCCAGACAGCCAAATGCTGCAGTGATGATCGGGGCCAGGTACACATATCCAGCTGTTTAGAAAACAAAGATGTACCTGTGGTCTTCTCTTAGTTATCATGCAATTCTTTTGTGAGTTGAGAGACTGCCACGAAAAGAAAAAAGAAAACCACAACAGTTAAAAAATGATGAAAAAAAATCACAAACTGTCAAATTCTCAACAGATCACAATACTGACTTTTTTTTTTAATTACATGCCATTAAATTATTCTTAAAGAACACGGGGACTTCGATAGTGCAAACTTGAGGTGGTGCTTTGTATGAAGAGAAAAGAAAAAGCCATGTGCTTTACACTTGTTGTGTGCATGAAGGAAACTGGTGTAGGTTTACCCAGGAAGGTGAGATGTGTTTCTCAGACACTGCAGCCTGTTAACTGTTGCTCTAGAAACCTATTTTACACAGTTGCTCAACCGTAAGCACTACACACACTTCAACCCATCTGCTCAAATCTGCAAACACAATCTTCACACCCTGAGTTTGCACTGTCGAATATTGCCCTTAAAAGTTCCATTCAAATGAAAGCATAACTCACTGAATTGTGACTATCAAACCTCCATTAACATATTCCCCCTTTATTGGTAATCATGCCACACTGAATCTTGAGAAAAACCAAGACAAAGCATCCATCATGGTAGGATCCTCACTACTGCAGTGTGTTTCAAGGTCCTCCTCTGGATGAATTGATCATGTACATTGTTGTAATAGACCGCTGTGTCTGCCCTAGAATGACTTTATTTGGAATCTTATCTAAAATGGATGGGTCTCTGTCTATCTGAAAATGTTCTGATGGAGTAAATAAATACATGTCCACTGTGCTGAGCGCTAACATTTCCGGTGTCATCAATAATAAATGTTGCTTGAAATGTTCTTTCTAAATGTGTTGCAGTGTATGTCAGGCAACAAAGGGGACATGGAACATTGATATGTTTACAATTCAGATACAAATGAAAAGTCAAACAGGGCCAAATTGTAAAGGAGTACTTGTTCATTGACTAAATGAAATATGTGGTGCATGATAATCACTGATGGGAAAGGTTGTGAGTTAGACAGTAGTTTTGGTTGAATCAATTCTACATGTTGCTAAGATAGACCTGTTTTGTACCATTCCATGACCTCAGTATTTAAAATTGAGAAACCAATGCAAGTATATGAATTCAAACTTGTTCTGTTACACCTTATAAAAAAACAGTTTTTGTATTCTTCGTTATTTGTTCCATCAAACTAATTTGGCAAGTCATTCAAAAGAAAAAAAAGGGAGGGGGGGGGGAGTAAAGTCAGTGAATTTGATTCCGCTTTGTATTTTTTTGTAGTTGATACAACTTCTACTCATATGATTGGCTCAGCCCCTGGCTCTCATGGCTGTGCTTGTCATTGTGGTTGGCTGATTGCGGAATAGAGCTCATACTGTGTTCATATGCATGCAAGTCACTGATTGGCTCTTCTTTGACTCGGACCACAGACGGGGTTCCCTCCGCCTGATCCTGCAGCTCCTTCCTCAGCTGGATGCTGCCCTTCTGCAGCATGTAGTACAGGATGGGGTTAGACCGTGAGAGCCGGGGAGAGTCCAGGTTTGAGTCACATCTCTCCTCCTCCTCCTCCTCCTCATTCTCCTGACTGCTCCATCGTGCAAGGCTCTCGGGCTCCTGCTTGACTAGAGTAGGGTGGTCCCGCATTTGAGTGACTGGCCATGGAGCTGGGTGGTGGCTCCAGGGGGTGTGGACAGGGCTGTCGCCTGCAGGGGGGGTGGGCAGTGGTCTCAGATTACTCGGAAGCCCTGAGTTGAGGGAACCATGGGGGGGCCAGCCGGGCAGGTGGAGGAAGCTGTGATTGTGGGCAGGCTGACTGAGAATGCCGCCGTTAGCCTTGCTGTTGCCCTGCAGGACAGAAGGGCTGGGGGTCCCCCGGGGCTGCTGGGACAGCTCCTTCAGGCAGTTGTCTGAGAGCAGCAGCTGTTTGAGCACGTTGAAGCCCCGACTCTCCCTGGTGAAGGTTTCGCTCGGTGGAGCCTCCTCTTCCTTCACACTCCTCTGATGGTCAAGCTCTTCCTGAACAGCATAAGATGCAAACATGTTTCTGTCGCCACTGTCCACTGCTCTTGGAGAGATGGTATTATTCAAACTGTCAGTCCGGTCAGAGCAGAGGCGTCTCTTCTTAGGACTGGGGCTCGGGTACTCCCTCTGTTCCTCTTTGACCTGCCTGGGCTCGGCCTGCACAGCAGAGCTGGTGTAGTAGGTAGCAGTCTGTTGTTTTAGCAGCTGGCTGAGCAGGCCGTACTTTGCAATGACCTCTGCAGGCCGTGGTTCTATTTTTAAGTCCTGCTGAGAATTTGAGAGGGGGCTATTCTTCTCAGAGCCGCTATGTCTCTTTCGGCCACTTGAGTCCTCAGACCTGGCCGAGGACGGTCTCACATCCTCCATGAACTCAGTCTTGACCTTTACGTCCAAAGGGGTTCCATTGGAGCTGTCGTAGGTGAGGGGGGCTCCAGGGCTCTTCTCGTAGCACCCCCCTGAAACCTCGACACTCCTCCGGCCACTGCCACCAGACCTATCTTTGCGGCTGACTGTAGCAGTACTGGAGCCTGTTCCCAGAAGGAGCTGCAGCACAGTGCGCCTCTCTAGAAGGTTCTCGATCTGTGACGAAGGAGGAGAGGCTTCCTTCTGACTGTAAGGTGTGCCGCTGCCTGAGGGTCCGTCAGAGAATGGAGTGGTGGCGGTCCTGTTGATTGGAGCATTGAGCCTTTCTAATAAGGCGAGGGGTCTGCTGGCATCATGCTCCTGAACCAGCCCTTTGCTGGAGGGGATGGGTGGGGAGGAAGACGCTGTGCCACACTGAGCCAGATTTTGTAACAGTTTACTGGCACTGAAGGCAGGCTCTGAAGTCTTCTCAGCAGGGAAGGGTTTAGACTTACACAAATCCAATGGGCTAGACTGGACATGGGGGGAGGGGTAAGAGTAAGGGGACAGTGCACCACTAGGGTCACGGTTAAGTGAGTAGAGGGGCTGGGCTGGGGCTTCAGATCTATCTAGGGGGCTCTTTGTCCTGGTCTCCTCCCAGGCCACGAGCCCCGTTGGTTGGCCTCGAGACATGGTGGCCATAGTGATATCAAGTGGCAACTCCGGGTGACCTTTGTTTATTTTCCCCATCTCATTGTTTCTGCGCTCAAGAAGAAGCTGCATGAGTGTGACCTTAGAGTGTGACTTTAGGTCTGGGCTCATCTCAGGCTCCTTGTTCTTGCACACATTTGGGCCTGATGGGTCTGGCTTCCACTTGTTTAATAAAGATTCTGTTAGTTTGTCTAGGGAGGAGGTAGAGATACAGGAGGAGGAAGAGGAAGAATTAGCCATGGAAACAGAGGACACAGCAGTAGAGGATGGTGAGAAGGTGGCGGAAGGTTGAGCGGAAGTTTGAGGAGAAAATGCCACTGGGGGGGAGGAGAATACTGTCCTGGAAGAAGAGAGGGCAGAGGAGAAAGAGGAAAGGGAGGAAGAGGGGACAGAGGTGTTGGGCCCTGGGTAATGTGTTTTGGCCCGGCTTCTCATGGAGAGGTCAATGGGAGAGCAGCTGGAGTAGGAACTCTCTGCATCGCTGCTATCTTTCGTCAGACTCCTCTCCTGGATGGAGCACTCGCTGTCCGATGTGACTGAAGAGGAGCCGCTCGCTGGCAGCATGCCGCAGCTGTCCTCAAGGTGACCGTTCTTGGTCAGCTGTTTCTGGTTGTTGTGGTTGTTGAGCAGCAGCAGGAGCAAGCTGCTGCATGTCTGGGGGGGGCGACTTGGACGGGAGTCAAAGCCACGCTTCTCCCTAGGTGTTTGGCTGTGAGTTGGGGTTGGAGCCTTTGGGGGAGTGGGTGGGGAGCTTTGGCCACGCAGCAAAGAGGGGCCCTGAGGACTGGACAGGGCCGTCCGTGGGAGTGTTGTTGTCATTGTGGTTGTTGCCGTCATTCCATTTTGCGTTGTAATGGGTTTTAGTGTATCTGGGGTACTGGGCAGACTTCCCCCCACACTAGGTGGTCTGTTGTCTGGGCCTAGCTGCTGGTTTGCCATGGCAGCTAGTCTCTCGCTGGCAGATCTCCCTGAGAGCTGGGCTTTAAGTGCGTGCTCTCTGGAGTACTGCTGCAGATGGGCCTCACTGGACAGCAGCAGGGCCAGCTGACTACAGGCCACACTGGGCTTGGGTGAAGGTGCTGGACTAGAACGGATTTTCACCATGTTGGCTACCGCCTTCAGACGGTCGGCACAGGACACTGACTCTGCAGTTGTAGGAGCAGAGGGGGGCGTGGCACTGTGCACTGACCGAGGGGATTCTGGTGGGCGGTCCTGGCTGTGTCCCCGGCGACTGTAGGGTGTGATGCTGTGGTTTTGAAGTTTACTCTTCCGCATTAGGCCCTTTAAGCGGCTCGAGGCAGTCCCATACACAGGACGGGGCTCTTTGTCTGCAGGTGGGGCCTTGGAGGGAGAGGAACACTCACTGGGGGGTTTAGTGGAGTGCTGAGACATTGCCACACTCTGAAGCCGTGAGCTGAACGACTGAAGCAGTGAAGCCAACAGGGTGCTCTCCCCAGCATGAGGAGATCCCTCTAGCCCTCCATTCTGCAAGACTCCCCCTTGGCCATTCAGCTCCATTGGGGGTGAGCTCATCCGCTGGGTCCCTGGATCATTCCAGGCTGCAGAGCGCAGTAGGCGGGCCTTTTTCAGGTTCTGCGAAGAACCTAGCGTAGGCCCATTGGTTCCAGCCTTAGGGGCGGTGGGGCCATGGTTGGGCAGTTGGAAAGGCCCGCCTACCTTGTCGCCCTGCTCCTGGTTGCTGTGGGCAGCCTCCGATCTCCCGCTCGCCGTGGCCCCAGGCCCGGCTACCACTGGATGCATCAGTAAACCTTCCAGATAAGTTAGAACAGCTGAATCCTTGTGTGTCTCAGGGCCAGGCTCCTCCCCATGAGTCATGTTCAATACTATGATCCACTCGTATGGTTCAGCACTGCTACTGGGAAACTAGTGTCCACTAGGTCATCTGGCTGACGGTGTAATGGACTTCCTAAGTACCAAAAAGAAGGCAATGGAAAGTGAGTCTGCAGGGAAGGGGGGGGGGGGGGATGCACTGACCAGATGTGACCCCTTTCTGTAGTGGGCAAAGTCAGCACTGTGGTGTAACAGCATCCATGTTTGCAGGCAATCTGGGGCAGGTGGGCCCCCCAGGCATTGTTGTATGCCTTTAAACACTGTAGGATCCCAGAAGGCCGAGCTCCCGGCTTATATGAGGAGCAAGCGAGGAGTCAGCGGGATTTCACCGCAAATATGTTGACACATTCTGTGGCTGTGGATGTTTGGGATGTCTGTCCTAAGGCCTGGCTGAGGTTCCGTCAGTGGCGCCTCGCAGCTTGGCAGATCTCACATGGGGGACCTATGGGAGAGAGAGAGAGAGAGAGAGAGAGAGAGAGAGAAAAGGGGGGAAACTGTGTGAGAAGCAGGGATTTACACGGCACTATATCACATTCATTTCACCACCTTGTCTGCCATCGATGTTACTTTTCAGATTGACTGCACACGGCTCCTTCTCTCTGCACTCTCCCCTCGCAGCCACAGAACAGACGACAAATGTAGATTAGGCCTGAGAATTCTAGCCCACTACCTTGAAAACATTTAGGTCTTGAGCTGTAAGCCCCTCACAGCAATGTCTTTCAAAAGTGAAGGGCCTTGTAAGAGCTGTGAATAATTTCATATACAGCTTGTCATTTCAGTGGATTATCCTCCCCTGCCACCTCCTGCTCCTTATGCACTTGAGCAGCATCTCACATGAAGCATCCCCCGGTCCACACAAAGCCGCAGCCACCCACCTATATGCCCACAAGAGTAAACACAAGCATGAATATGCACATGAAGACCTGCTTACATGTGCATGCATACTCTTACACAGATTAAGTGAAAGCCGCTGTGGTGGCAGCTTACTCTCACCCCACCATTGTGTTTATTAACACCTGGCCACCTGTGAATTGTTGAATAGCTCAGTGCTTTTGAGCCTGAACTGTTTTCAAATGAGAAACAAGATAAAAGCAGTACACTGAAAAAGCTAAAACGTTGACTTTAATTCAATGTATTATATCAACATAACTGTATTAGATTTCACATAACTGTATAAGCAATACTATTACGTTTAAATAAGAAATAATAGGTTCAATTTAATATTATTGCTTCCAACTATCCCAATACAGTTATGTGAAATGTGTTTATATTAAACACTCAATTAAAGTCAATGTTTCATTTAGTTCTGTGTAACTGACTTGATGTGATGTGACTCGTGGTTACGGCTACAGTACAAAGGCGGTGGAGAATCAAAGCAAGGATATAGCTTGTGTGTGTGTGTGTGTGTGTGTGTGTGTGTGTGTGTGTGTGTGTGTGTGTGTGTGTGTGTGTGTGTGTGTGTGTGTGTGTGTGTGTGTATTGAGGGCTCGGGGGTGGTTTAAGGATCAGGTGCACCTGTCACACCACACCACTGTCAGTAGGGCAAGCCAGTGACACTGGGGTGAGCTCTCTGCCAGTTGCCATGACAGTGTCAGCGGCGCTGCCCTGGGAGACCTCTGCTCTGAACCCTGTCAAAGTGGTTTCCGTGGATACAGGACACCTCCGACAGTCCTGGCCGCATCCCATAAAGGTTAATTAATACAGAGTTTCCACCTCGCCTCAGCTGCTGTCTGTGTCCTTCCCCGATGCCGCCCTCACCTTTAGTGTCCGCTGAGTGGACCGACACAGAGGGTCACACACCAGGACAGACACTGATTATGACGAAAGGCCACGGCAACCCAAACGGCCACTAGCCTAAATACTTCACAGAGTTCAGCAGCGAGGGCCAAAAACAACAAGGTAGCAGGCTTCTAATCAGGCTGAAATCCATCTATGAGGCCAAGGTCCACAGGTTGTCATGACAGTGAGGGCGACAAGGTGGCTCTTTAAATGCCACCTTGAAAATTAGCTGGGATTAGACGATGGATTTAGGTGGATCAGTGCGCAATTAAGTCTGAGTAGCAGTAGGAAAACAATCAGGTTGGAAACTTTAAGACCATAAAGCATTGTATCAAATAAAACAATTTTACCGAAATTGGCCCTTAAGCGTCAATTACAGTCCAAGGCCATTTCTAAGCGCATGACCTAAATCTGACAACAACAAAAGCCGACCTGGTCATACTGGGCCATCTGACGTCTGATGTCATGCTAATGTTAGATTGTCAGGATTAGAGCTATTTTCCCGCCAGTAAGCTTAGCGCAATTATAATAGAATGCCCTGTAACACTGCGTTTGATCAGCACAGTAAACAGTACACATGTTTACCTTCAATACAGCTTGGCAAAGTAACTAATATGCCGGTAAACAGCCCCACCCCCCCAGTTATTGAGAGGAAAAATGTAAATGAAAATGAAAAACTGACACGGTTTCAACATGGGAAATGACATTAATCTCTCTGCTGCTGGCAGTGAACCTTTGGAATTACAGTTGACCTTGTCTATGTTTTTGCCCAGAGAAACTTCAGAGCAGAGCAGACATTATGACACTGCACTATGTATAATAATAATAATAACTTACATCTATATTGCACCTTTCAAAACCCACGGATGCTTATTGTATGTATGACAGTGTCCAAAATGTTAAGAGTGTGTTGAAAAACGTTTTAATAAAGTATATAGTAAGAGCTTGTTTAAGATTACCCTACAGTATGTTTGTCCTCCTAAGTCCTACGTTTTATGGTATTTTATATTTTTTTGTTTTATTTTATCTAGTTTTATTTGTATCTATTTGATTTATCATATCTTTTGTAATGTTCTTGTAATTTGAATTATCTATTGTTAATCTGTAAATCCACTGAGACAAACATGTTTTATGATAATAGGCTGTATAAATAAACTTTGATTTGATTATATACAGAGCTGCTGCATTCACTATCTACTGTAAAGAACAAATAACTCTTTAAACAAAGTGCTCTTGAGAGACACATGATGACTGAGTCGGTGTCACACAGCAAGGGCAAGAAGAAATCAGTTGTCCTCAGTGACGGAGCTCTGCGAACAGATAAATGACCTTAATATAGGGAAAGCTGTCCTCTGCGCTGAGCCCTAAAGCACACTCCTCCCTGCTCTCCTCACAATGTGTGATGTGTGCATTACTATTGCATTATCACCCCTGGTCTATACATTGAAAATGACCTTACACATCTGTTAACATGTCATCTCATTCATGGTGGCACCCAAAAAGCCTGACCTCCACCGCCCCACCCCCCTCCTCCACCGTGGGACACCAGAGCACCAATGAGCCGTTTCTGTGGTGATTATCCATTATCCTTGACAATGTCAGCCAATGACAGAGCAAGCACCATTCTAAAGTGATTTTTACCCCTACAGTTGGCCACGTACATGTGGGAGGGAGGGCAATTGATGGGGGGGGGGGGTCCACTCTGCGTCTATTCCTCTCTGTGTTCCGCTCCTCTTGTAGTTAAAAGACACCAGAAACAGTAAAGGTCACTACACTCAGCCGCTGTCTAAGTTACATAGAATTGCCAGAAGGCCAACGTAAAAATGTGCGGATGCAGGTGTCGGGAATTTAATCTCAATGTGACCTTCATTTCATTCCTTCATTGACCTCCAGATTACACCCACTCCACAGTCCACACACACACACAGGAAGGAACACACTTGCTTGTAATACAGCCTCCTTTTTTTTTATCTTAAAAATAAGTGGCTTTCTGAATGACCTTCGTTGCCTGGAATGGTAATCCACTTAGGCCATTTAAAATGTATGAGACCAAACAAAAGAATTAAAAAGGGGAAGAGCCAAAGGAGCGGCAGTTAAAGTCAAGGTCATTCATTCCGCCAAGGCTTTTTCCACTTGACGCAACAGCTGGTGTCCATGCAAAGCTCTGGGCGTTAATAAAAAGTGACAATGCTGCCCAAGCGGTGTGTATTACTAATGTCTGACACCAGCCTGGCAGATGTGTTCTCCCTACATTTAAGGGGAGTCAAGGTTAAAGGAATTTAAAAGGAGAGGCGATGCCTAAACAATATTATTTCATGTAATCTGCAGCCCAGCCCTGCTGCACACTCTCATCGGGGTAGCTCACTTACACATGCTGCGTGACCGCTATTTGTAAATTCAATATGGCCTGACATGATTAAATAAGACAAAACATAAGCTACCTGACCAAACGTGGTTGTCCCGAGCCTCCACAAGTGACCGAGGAGGAAAGTTGAATTAAAAGCTCTTGTTCACCTTGAGAGGGGTAAACAAGAGAATAACACGGTTCTGAACAGCGGGAGAGCTACAGCAAAGGAAATGTTTTTGCAGATAAGTCAATCAGGACAAAATACACAGACCTATGCACACCCACACAATGAGAACTAGGGCACTGTGACCCACTTCTAAGAATGCATTGAGCAAACAAGCCATGCATAGCAGACATGCCTCCGCGTGGGTGTACCACACATAAAGGAAATGTGATACATGAATGCTGAAGACTGCGACCTGTTGTGTTAAGTAGCACAGGCCATCCATTGGGAGGAATCATCCCATTCTTGAATGTGAGGAACAGTGTGTGAATGCTAATATCTCAGACAAAATGGGATAGAGTGCTCAAGGCTCGGCCTGCGAATGGCCTTGGATGAGGGGGCGGATTTTAACTCGATCTGTACTCATCAGTACAAAGAGTTCTTGGGGTTAGGAGAGAGCATGCATGAATGCATGCACACTGATGAGTCATCTAGCCAGTTCATAGCCCAGCTGATGGGGGGGGGAACCCAGCCAAAGTAGCCAGTGGAAGTGATATCATGGCGCGGATCAGAGCCCAGGACAGTCGCTCCCCTCTCCTTACATGTCCAGGCTCGCATGGAAATGTTTGTGTCCATAGTAAATATTTGTGTGCCATTTGGAAGACCCACCCAAGGGCCATTTCCTGAGCGGCTGAGAATTAGTGCATCAATTAAACACACACACACATCCCTTCTTAATGAGCCGTGGCCACTATTAATCTATACCTCATTCATTTCTATTGGGCTCCGAGGTAATCTTCTGCTTACATCGTCCGTCCAAAATGGGGCTCATTTCCCTCTCGAAACAACACACATTTTCCATTTGTAAACACTGGTGCTGGAAATAGGAACAGATGATTGCCCCACGGCCGGCACGCCAGCAGGCAGAGCGGGGCTCTTGAAGCAGACTGCAGTGGTGATGTCTGAGGGAAATGGGCCACTTTGCAATTGAGATCAAATGCTCCACTGTCAGGCTGCCCTGAAAGCTGGAGAGGAAAGCAGCTTTTCCATAATATCCTTGGCATCCGCCCTAAGAAGGCTTTTGCCGTGAGTCAGCAAGATGTCTATCTTTATTGGGTTAAAAGAGTACTGCTTTTTTCTTTTCACTGCGAGT